CGTGTTAACTAGGGTGGTCTCGATCTCCTGACCTCGTGATCCGCCCGTCTCGGCCTCCCAAAGTGCTGGGATTACAGGCTTGAGCCACCGCGCCTGGCCGATAGATGCTTTCTTTAGATAAAACACACTTGTCTTAAGTGTTCAGTATAATTACATTGATAAATGTATACAACTGGTTGGTGGCTGATGCCTGCAATCCCAACACTTTGGGAGGCTGAGGCAAGAGTATCACTTGAACCCAAGAGTTCAAGACCATCCTGGGCAACATAGCAAGGCCCTGTCTCTACAAAAAATTTAAAAATTGACTGGGCATGGTGGTGTGCACGTGTAGTGTTAGCTACTTGGGAGGCTGAGGTGAAAAGATCACTTGAGCCTGAGAGGTTAAGCTGCAGTGAGCCATGTTTGTGCCACTGCACTCCAGCCTGTGTGACAGAGCGAGACCCGTCTCAAAGAGCATCAAAAATAAAGTATACAACTATGATACCGGCACCCAAACAAGAAGCATCCATCAGCCCCAAAAGTTCCCTGGGACCTTTTTGCAGTCATTTTTCTGTTCATTCCCACACCTGCCTGGGCAACCACCAATCAGATTTCTTTAACTATAGAATATTTCCTTTTGTCTCTTCTAGAATTTCATATAAATGAAATTGTATCATATATAGCTTTCTGTAACTACGGATTACTTCCATATCTTCTAGAATTTCGTAGAAATGAAATGGCACCACATACAGCCTCTTGTGTCTGGCTTCTTTCACCCAACATAATGATTTTGAGATTCTTCCATATCACATGTGTATCCACAACTTGTTCCTTTTCAGTGCTGTGTTATAGTCCATTGTATGGACATACAATAATTTGCTTAACTGTTCACTCGGGTTGTTTCTGTTTTGGTCTTTTATGAATAAAGTTGCTATGAACATTCTTGTACAAGTCTTCCTGTGGACATGTTTATTTCTTATTTATTATTTTTCTTGAGACAGGGTCTTGCTCTGTCACCGAGGCTGGAGTATAGTGATCATGGCTTGCTCTATCCTTGTCCCAGGCTCAAGTGATCCTCCCACCTCAGCTTTCTAAGTAGCTGGGATTACAAGTGTGTACCATCATGCTTAGTTAATTTTAATATTTTTGTAGAGATGGGGTATCCTTATATTGCCCAGACTGGTCTCAAGCAGTCCTCTTGCCTCAGCTTCCCGAAGGGCTGGGATTACAGGCATGAGCCACCATGCCCATCTTTCTTTTTTTTTTTGAGATGGAGTCTTGCCCTGTTGCCAGGTTGGAGTGCAGTGGCATGATCTTGGCTCACTGCAACCTCCGCCTCCCAGGTTCAAGCAATGGTGTGATCTCGGCTCACTGCAACCTCCGCCTCCCGGGTTCAAGTGATTCTCCAGTCTCAGCCTCCTGAGTAGCTGGGATTATAGACGCACACTACCATGCCTGGCTAATTTTTGTATTTTTAGTAGAGATGGGGTTTCACCATGTTGGCCAGGCTGGTCTCGAACTCCTGACCTTGTGATCGGCCTGCCTCAGCCTCCCAAAGTTCCGGGATTACAGGCGTGAGCCACTGCGTCCAGTCAGTTTACATTTTTCATCATATATGCAGAGACAATCAGGTGTGTCTGTGGAACATCTACAACATGTTGTTCCACTCACTGCCCAAATCAGGGAGAGGAGATTCTGCAGGTTCATTTTGTCTTCCTGAGGAGTCTCTCTGGGGTTTATATAGGGGAAGAGCTCCAGGAGACCCTGACAGCACCTACTTTAACTGAAGTCTCATGGCCAGTAAGGAAGCATGAAAAGGTGCCAGCATGGGCTTGAGAAGGGTTATGACATCATCCACCAATATGTCCCATCTCCCCTTCAACTCTTCTCTGACCCGGCTGAGATTCTGCAGATGCCGCCTCACCTGGCTCTAAGAGGATTGGGGCAGGTGGTGAGTTAGATTAGGTCAAGGCCGGGGAAACCTGCTAGGGAGAAACGCAGGGGCTGAGAGGGAGGGAGAGAGACTAGGGAAGGAGAGGGAAGGGGGAGCACGGGTCCGCACAGGGCAGAGAGAGATAGGAGATGAGTCAGAGGAGGGAAGAGATATGGGAGGAAAGTGTGTCTAAATGGCAAAATAATAAGATCACCCATTTACTCCGAGCTTCCTGAAAGCTAGGCTCTGTGCTGGGCATGTAAATGGCACAGTTCCATGTTGCTACACCCCACACGTATGGAGAAGATGTAGTTGTTACCCAAAGTCTCATAGACATCCAGCTGTCCACAGGTCCTCCTCCAAAGAGTCCAAGAAGCAGATGAGCTTGGTATCACTCGATAGAGTGGAGGGTTTAAGGGCTGTGCTCTTTGGCTGGGTGGACTGGTCCATGCTCAGACTGAATCTTTTCAGTCTTCTCAGAAAGGCACTTAAACACCCTGAGGTTTGGTGTAACCCCCCGTAGGCAAAGGGATTATAGGCTGCCAGCCTCAAAGGACCTTCTGTAAGGATATTAGAGCGCACAGGACAGCTGCTGTCACATGGCAAGTGACACAGGCCGGGGAGACCCTGTCTGTTCTGGTTTTGAGGGCAGGAGACTCCCATGCCTCAGTTTCCCCTTTTCTTTGCACCTCACTCTCCCTCCCTCCCTCTCTCCCTGCCCCTCAGTCTCTCCCTTTTTCCACCGCTCTGCCTCCCTTGGGACGGTCTCACTGTGGTTTTCTGTGTACATCCCTCTCAGGGTCTCTCTGAGGAGCAGGAGGGTTTTTCATTATATCCCGGCAGTCTGTCCCCACCTCCAACCGCAGCCTGTCACATGTTTCCCCCAAATCCGCACTAATTCTCCCTATGTTTTGCTGAGGCTGGCCTGACCTAAGAGGATTGAAGCATTTGCTAAATGAGACTTGGACAGGGTCAGAAAACTAGCTGTGGGAAGACACAGGGGCCAGGATGGCCGCAAGGTGATGGCAAAAGAAGCAGGAGAGGAGAGGACAGAGGCAAGGGGTGGCATGCTATTGGTGCAAGGACATAGAGACCAAGAACCCAACAGAGACTTTTTGTAGAGCCAGTCATGGTGGCTCACACCTGTAATCCCAGCAGTTTGGGAGGCCAAGGTGAGGGGATCACTTGAACCCAGGAATTCAAGACCAGCCTGGGCAACATGGTGAGAACTTGTTTCTGCAAAAAGTAAAAGGAGATTAGCCAGGCATCGTGGTGTGTGCCTGTGGTCCCAGCTACTCAGAAGGCTGAGGTGGGAGGATCACTTGAGCCTAGGAGGTTGAGGTTGTAGTGAGCTGTGATTGTGTCACTGCACTCCAGCCTGGGCAACAGAGTAAGATTATGTCCAAAAAAAAAAAAAAAAAAAAAAAAAAAAAAAAAAAAAAAAAAAGCCAGGTGTGGTGGCTCATACCTGTAATCCCAGCACTTTGGGAGGCTGAGGCTAGCGGATCAATGAGGCCAGGAGTTCAAGACCAATGTAGCCAACATGGCTAAACCCCGTCTCAACTAAAAATACATAAAATTAGTTGTGCATGGTGGTGCACCCCTGTAAACCCAGTTACTCAGGATGCTGAGGCATAAGAATCACTTGAACCTGGGAGGCAGAGGTTGCAGTGAGCTAAGATGATGCCATTGCACTCCAGCCTGGGCAACAGAGTGAGACTGTCTCCAAAAAAAAAAAAAAAAAGAAAAAGAAAAAGAAAAAGAAAAACCCAAAAAACAAAAGAGTTTGTAGATACAGACTCATACATTAATGAACCCTTGATTTATGACAAAATACAAAACAAATTGCAAGTTCTCAATAAATTGGCAACTGGAAATCCATGAGAAAGGAAAAATCCTTACCTCACATCATACACAATCAATTATACATGTATTAAAGACCTAAATATGAAAGGTAAAACTAAAAATTTAGAGAAAAAAATGGAATACCTTCATCATCATGTGATAATGCAAGATTTCTTTTTCTCCTGTTGGTTACCTGATCTTGGAGAAAGTTTTTTTTTTTTTGGAGATGGAGTCTCACTCTGGCACCCAGGCTGGAGTGCAGTGGCATGATCTTGGCTCACCGCAACCTTCACCTCCTGGGTTCAAGCAAGTCTTCCGCCTCAGCCTCCTGAGTAGCTGGGATTACTGGCATGTGCCATCACACCTGGCTAATTTTTGTACTTTTAGTAGAGGTGAGTTTTCACCATGTTGGCCAGGCTGGTCTCAAACTCCTGGCCTCAAGTGATCCACCTGCCTCAGCCTCCCAAAGTGCTGGGATTACAGGTGTGAGCCACTGTGCCTGGCCTGGAGAAAGATAATTTAGACAAGCCATTAAAAAAAAAAAAAGTATTACTCTTAGAAGGAAAAAGTGAGAAAATGGAGCAATTTTCAAAGCAGTAAGCTGGTCACCTCAGACTGGTGCCACCTGTGGGCTTCGTTTCCAATTAGTAACAGTTAGTAACAGAGGTCTTTTAGAAACACCAGCTTTTAGAAGCTTTTCTGTTCAATTTGAAAATAGAGATATATTGAGATATTTTGTAAAAGTCATTTTATTTTATTATTTTATATTTTTTGACAAGGTCTCATTCCGTACTCCAGGCTGGAGTACAGTAGTATGATCTCAACTCACTGCAACATCCACCTCCCAGGTTCAAGTGATTCTCCTGCTTTAGCCTCCCGAGTAGCTGGGACTACAGGCACCCACCAGCATGCCTGGCTAGTTATTGTATTTTTTTTTTCTTTTTAGTGAGGATGGGGTTTCACCATGTTGGTTAGGCTGGTTTCAAACTCCTGACTTCAAGTGATCCACCTTCCTTGGCCTCCCAAATTATTGGGATTACAGGCATGAGCCACCTTGCCTGGCCCATTTTAATTTTTATTAATAACTTCATTGTGTTTTACAGCGTTATCAGTCTGCTGCTGACGGAAACGAAAAATTAAGACAAACTGGTCCATAACAATAGGTAATTTGAAAAACAGTGAAATAGACAACATTGAAATCAAGAAATGCTACTAATGAAACAAAATGCAAATAGGAAAGGCGTTTGCAGAACTTTAATTGCCAAGAGAATATAAGAATACATTCAAATAAATGAAGGAAAAGGGGTAAACAAAGAGACACATTATGAGGATTTCTAAGGTTCAGTTAACATGTGAGAGTTTAACCTCTCAAACATCAGGGAAATGGATATTACAACCACAACAAAACCACAAGTCATTGGATCAACCAACATCAAAAGGTCTCACAATCCTAAGTGTTGGGGAAGATGCTGACTAGCAGGAGGGCTGGGAAAAGCCCTTTACAAAGCTCTCAAGCGGCATCCACTAATGCCAAACATCCCAGTGAGCAGTGACTCCAATCCCAGCAGAGAAATGCTCAGGCTCAATTCAAATGAGGGGCAGGCACATTCACAGGCCACCTGTGATGGCTGCACAGTGAAGACAGCAAATGTCTGCCTGCAGCCGGGTGGGTAAAGGGTGGTGCATTCACTGCAGAAAGTCACCAGCAGTGTGGACCAGCCACTCCAGGCCCACTGGGATCTGAAGAACTTTGCAGGCACAGGCCCCCTATAAATCCAGTAATGACCTGGGGCCTGAGTCATTTTCATTCACAGAGCCACATTCCTCTTGGTACAGAGACCCTGAGTCTTTTTGGCCCATAGAGTCATCCCCTTCTTGGTACTGAGAGGTCATGGTGGAGACTGAGGATCCCTCCAAGGGGTCTAGGGGTGGGAGCAGCTCTGTGAATTGAGGGAATAACTGGGTGTCTGGCAAGAAGTCGGAGGCATCGGGGCTCTCAGGCCATAAGGGGACTGGGGCTGGGGCTAGGAATGATCCTGGACCTGGGATTGGGGCTGGGACTGAGCCTGGGCCTGGGCCTAAAATCGGGGCTGGGCCTGGAAGTGAGCCTGAGCTTGGCATCTGGCCAGGACTTAAGATGGGACCTGGGCCTCCGAGTCTGCCTGGGCCTGGGATCTGGGCTAGGCCAGGAATCTCGCCTGTGATCGGGCCTGGGCCTGAGATTGGGCCTGGGATCTGGGCTTGGTCTGGGACCTGAGCTGGGCCTGAAATTGGGCCTGGGATTGGGCCAAGGAGTGGGCCTGGAATCTGGGCTGGGCCTGAAATTGGGCCTGGGAGTGGACCAGCGAGTGGGCCTGGGATCTGGGCTGGGCCTGAAATTGGGCCTGGGAGTGGACCAGGCAGTGGGCCTGGAATCTGGGCTGGGCCTGAAATTGGGCCTGGGAGTGGACCAGCGAGTGGGCCTGGGATCTGAGCTGGGCCTGGGATTGGGCCAAGGAGTGGGCCTGGGATCTGGACCCGGCCTGAAATTGGGCCTGAAATTGGGCCTGGGACCTGAGCTGGGCCTCGGATTGGGGCTGGGATCGGGCCAGGGCCTGGACCCAGGACATCTGGGATGCCCTTTTGGGCTCTGCACCCAGGGCCACCCCAGGCCTGGTCGAGGCTGCAGATCGTGGGTTCCGCCGCTGGAAGGATTCCCGAGAGGCCCGGCTGAGGGGCGGAGGCAGCGGCTGCAGGGACTAGGGGCTCAGCGCGGGCGCCTCGGCCTCTCCGCCCAGGGACGCGCTGCGGCTGCTGCTGGAGCCGTCGCTCCCGAGCTAGTTTGGCGCGGCGATTCTTGAACCACACCTGGGGGCAGAGGGGACAGGGAGGAGGTGTGAGGGAGGGCCTCGCGCGGTCCGGTGAGCCGCTTGGGGGCGGGGCCGGCCTCAAGCCTCTGCCTGTGTTCACCCCCACCCCGCGCCCACCATAAGAGGGCCCCCCCCACCCCGGCTCCCAGGCCCGGAGAAGGGAGGGGAGAGGGAGGGGAAAAGAAGGGGAGGAGGGTGGGGTGGGAGGAGTGAAGGGTGGGGTGGGAGGGGAGGAGCGGGGCCTGCTGCCCGGGAGCCCGGGGGGCCAGGGAGGGTTCGAGGGGAGGGACCGCGGGTTCTCAGGGGGGCCTGAGGTCTGGGCGCCGGGAGACCTCGTGGGGCACAGCTTGGGCCGATCCTGTGGGCGGGTTTGGGTTGGCAGAGAGTTGGAACAGGACTCGATGCAGCCCGGGTCTACACTGGCGGGACCCCTTGCGTGGCAGGGCAGGAGGTGGTCGGGCGGGCCAGGCCCCGGTGAGTGAGAGATGAAGAGGCTCCTTGGGGTGACTGGGGCGGGCGGGGTGGGGCTGGGAGTCAGACCTGCAGTTGGTGCTCCTTGAGGCCGAGTTCCTCCGCCAGTTTCTGTCGCTTGTGGTAGTTCGGGTACTGGTCGTTCTGAAAGTAACTTTCTAGCACTTCCTGCTGGCTTTGAGTGTAGACCGTGCGCTCCTGCCGCTGTCTCCTTGGAGGGTCCGGGGCCAGGGAAGGGCCTGGGGGCGGGAGGGAAACAGGTCAGAGAAGGCCCCAGGGAGCCCCCGGCCCCGCCTAGGGACCCCGTCCCCTGCCCGAGGCCAGGAGCCCGGGCACTGTGGGCTGGGGCGGCACCGCGGATGGCAGCCTGGTATCCGGACCAGACCTTGCACGTCTCTGGGCCTCAGGGTCCACATCTAGGAAATGGGCATGATAACAGCTCCTGTATTATTAGGGACCCCACAGAAGGGAAGGCAGGCAGCATAGGTGCTGGTTTAATATCTTTCCTTCTGTCTTTTTCTTGGAGAGAGGATCTCGCTGTCACCCAGGCTGGAGTGCAGTGATGTGAACACGGCTCAAGGCAGCCTCCACCTCCTGGCCTCAAGCAATCCCCCCGCCTCAGTCTCCCGAGTAGCTGGGACACAGGTGTGCACCACCACCCCTGGGTAACTCGTATTTTTGGTAAAGACGGGTCTCACTGTGTTGGCCCAGCTGGTTTCAGAGTCCTGGGCTCAAGTGATCCTCCCACCGTGGCCTCCCAAAGAGCTGGGATCACAGGCGTGAGACGCTCCGCGCGGCTGCCTGGGTTTTCATTTCCCAAACGCCGCTAAGTTCTCCCCTCTCTGCAGGACGGGAAGCCTCCCGCACAGGCCCAGCCCTGCTCTGGCTGCCCAGATCTGCACTCTGCAGCCTCGGCCACAGGATCAGTTCAGACCCCTCACACCCCTGCCCCCGCTCACCTTGGCGATGACCAGGGTCTTGCATCCTGCGTCCTGCTCTGTTCCCAAACACAAGTGTGTACTGACAAGTGCTTGGCTCTTAAATCACTTCTGTGCTGTGCCCACCCTGGCCCACCCTGCCGGGACCCTCCCTTTCCCACCCTGCCCTGCAGTCCCGTCCGCTGGAGGAGCTGAATGATGGATGAATCCTTCATAACTGATCAGGTACTGCCTGCCAAGCTGTGCTAGGAGCTGGGGAACCTCAGTGGGCAACACAGCCTTGGTTTCACCCTCGTGGGCCCAGGCGAGGTGGCATTCCATGCGGGCTTGGGGAGTCAGCATTGTGACCTGTGGTTGGGGTCCCCATCTCAGGAGAGGCACCGCCAGTCAGCCCCCAGGAGTCATCCTTGTTCCTTCCCAGGGCTGGGGCCCCGCATGACCAATGTCAGCGAGTGTACCCACTCCTCCCGGCTCCCGGGCTGCCCGCCTTGTCCAGCCACCATCCCTCCCTCCTGGATGACCCCACAGCCTCCTCTTTGATCCCTTGAGGCCACTCTGGCCCCTACTATCCATTCCAAAAATTGCCCCCCAGGTGCCTATAGGTGTAAGCAGAGCTCGGTACACATTGGTCCTGCTGATAATGGTTTGGTTTCTGTAGTGAATTTGCCCGTGGGGCGAAGTTCTGATGGGCATTTACATAGACCTCTGCTGGTTTCTCCTGGTGAGTAAATGACCTCAGTGCTGGTTTATTCCAGTTTATATACGGGGCTCCCTGTATCAGGAAGGGGCACAGGTCTGATGGACGTGCCCATGGACCGCTGCTGGTCTGCCCTTGTGAGTGAATGAACCTGCTGCTGAAGATACAGGGGACCCATGACCTTGGTCTACAGAAATCAGATCCCTCAGAGATGCATCTTCTCTGTCAGACACCTGGCTGTCCCCATTTCCCCATGGCAGGACCCACATGGATTCGGGGGTTAGAGAGATTGACAAGGCTCATGGTGCAGGGAACTAGAAATGACTCATGCAATCAATTTCAAAATTCAATAAAACGTAGACATTGTTACCACAGGCCTGGCTTATTGTTTTCACCTGCTGCTTAGAGTTCTGTTGTAGAAAGCAGCATCCCCAGCAATGATTCCTCATCGCATGTGTTGTCCGGCTTCATCTACAGGACATGCTGGGAACACAGTGGTGACCACGGAGATTTTGCACCATGGCTATTTATTTGGCCAATAAAGACATAAACAGATGAACAAGCTCACTGGTACTATTTTGTGAAAACAGACATTTAAATATAAGCAAGTTCACGGCAGCATGATTCACAATCACCCAAGAGGAGAAAACGCTGAAACATCGATCCACTGATGGATAAACAAAATGCCGTGTGGCCGGGCGCGGTGGCTCATGCCTGTAATCCCAGCACTTTGGGAGGCTGAGGTGGGCGAATCGCTTGAGGTCAGGAGTTTGAGGCCAGCTTGGTCAACAAGGTAAAAACAGGTCTCTGCTAAAAATACAAAAAATTAGCCAAGCGTGGTGGCAGGAGCCTGGAATCCCACCTATTTGTTAGGCTGAGGTAGGAGAATCACTTGAACCCAGGAGGCAGAGGTTGCAGGGAGCTGAGATCGTGCCACTGAACTCCAGCCTGGGTGACAGAGGGAGACTCCACCTCAAAAAACAAAACAAAACAACGCCCCCCCCCCAAAAAAAACCCACAAAAAATAGAAACCCAAAATGTTCTGTATTCACACAATGGGATAGTACTCAACCACGAAAAGGAATAAAGCTCTGATACATGCTACAACGTGGATGAACCTTGCCAACATGAAGCCAAGTGAAAGAAGCCAGACTGAAAAGCACATATATGATTCTATTTATACGAAGTGTCCAGAATAGGCAAATCCATAGGGACAGAAAGCAGATTAGTGGTTGCTAGGGGTTGGGGAGAAGGGAAAATTGGGACCAACTGGGAATAGCTACGGGGATAGCTCCCGGGCATGGTGAAAAATGTTCTAAAATTGACTGTAGTGATGGAGGCACAACTCTGCAAATAGACTAAAAACCATTTATTTATTTTTTTTTTTGAGATGGACTCTTGCTCTATCACCCAGGCTGGAGTGCAGTAGTGGCGTGATCTTGGCTCCCTGCAACCTCACCTCTAGGTTCAAGTGATTCTCCTGCCTCAGCCTTCCGAGTAGCTGGGATTACAGGCGCACACCACCACGCCCAGTCAATTTTATGTATTTTTAGTAGAGACAGGGTTTCACCATGTTGGCCAGGCTGGTCTTGAATGCCTGACTTCAAGTGATCCGCCCACCTCAGCCTCCCAAAGTGCTGGGATTACAGTCGTGAGCCACCGCGCCCGGCCACTTTTCTTATTTTATTTATTTATTTATTGAGACTGAGTCTCGATCTGTCACCTAGACTAAAGTGCAGTGGTGTGATCTTGGCTTACTGCAATCTCTGCCTCTTGGATTCAAGCGATTCTCCTGCCTTAGCCTTCCGAGTGGCTGGGACTACAGGCGCCTGCCACCACACCCGGCTAATTTTTTTTTTTTTTTTGTATTTTTAGTAGAGATGGAGTTTCACCATGTGAACTTCTGACCTCAGGTGATCTGTGCACCTTGACCTCCCAAAGTGCTGGGATTACAGGTATGAGCCACCGTGCCTGCCCTCAATTATTTATTGTAAGACTTATCCTGGGAAAATTCTTGCTCCCCTGTGAATAAGCGCAGATATCAGTGTTCAGTGTAGCATTTCTTTGAAATATCAACTGAGTTAGTTGGATTAACTCACGCCCACAAATTAGAAGATGATTAATTTGTGGCAACCTCAGACTATGGAGTGGTAATAAAAGTTGAAAAAAGGGATGCAGGGGTAACCAATTAGTAACAAATGATGATTTTTAATGTATTTTTTGTTTTGTTTGCCTGTTGGATGTCTGCTTGCTGTTTACTGAAATAAATGTGTCTTGAATGCAGACACTTTGTTGGGCTTTTTTTTTTTATTCCTCCCGAATTCCCATGTCTATAATAGGAAAAGTTCAAAGTTGCTGACTAATAATGAACTAAAGGATTGAGTTTGTGTTTTCCATGTCGAATGCTGTCTCAGGCACGTTGTTTATTTTGAAGAATGTATACATTTAATAAGCACATACAAAAATATATACATATTCTACATATATATATTTTCTTTTCTTTCCTTTTCTTTTTTTTGGAGACAGGATCTCACTCTGTCACCCAGGCTGGATTGCACTGGCACGATCTCGGCTCACTGTAACCTCTGCCTCCTTGGCTCAAGCCCTTCTCCCACCTCAGCCTCCCAAGTAGCTGGGAGGACAGGCGCCTGCGCCACTACGCCTGGCTAATTTTTGTATTTTTTGTAGAGACGGGGTTTTGCCATGTTGCCCAGGCTGATCTCTAACTCCTGACCTCAAGTGATCCATCCACATTGGCCTCCCAAAGTGCTGAGATTAGAGGCATGAGCCACCTTGTCTGGCCCGTAATATATTTGAATGAACAATAAATAACAATGATAAAAACTCCTGCAAAAGTAAGTACCCAGAGATGATGGGGAATGTCTATTTTCTCTATTTCCTGCTGCTTATAATTATGATTTTTTAAGGGACAACCTGGAAAACAAGAAGCATTTCTGGCCTTGAATGCCACCCGAGGGCTCGTCAGCACCCTGCCCACAGAAGTCCCTATGCCTTCTCTCGTCTTGATGTGTCTTCAGGGTTGGACGGAATTTCTGGAGATTCCTCCTGGGCCTTCCCAGGCAATGACCAAATTCCTAGAGTCACGTAGATGGAGGGAGGTCTTCCGGAGCCTGGGGCAAAAGCAACGTAGGTGGGAATGAAGCAGGTGGAAAAGCATGCAGAAGGGATTATGAAATCCATTCTTGGCCAGGCGCAATGACTCACACCTGTAATCCCAGCACTTTGGGAGACTGAGGCTGGAGGATCATCTGAGGTCAGGAGTTCAAGACCAGTCTGGCCAACATGGTGAAACCCCGTCTCTACCAGAAATACAAAAATGAACTGCACATGGTGGAGGGCGCCTGTAGTCCCAGCTACTCGGGAGGCTGAGGCAGGAGAATCGCTTGAACCCGGGAAGCAGAGGCTGCAGTGAGCCGAGATTGTGCCACTGCACTCCAGCCTAGGTGACAGAGTAAGACTCCATCTCAAATAAATAAATAAATAAATAAATCCATTCGTATTTGATTCCTTCAGAACAGAAACAATGGCTCTCTCCTTATCCATCAATTTTTTTTTTTTTTTTTTTTTTTTGAGACAGTCTCGCTCTGTCACCTAGGCTGGAGTGCAGTGGCAGGATCTTGGCTCACTGCAACCTCCACCTCTTGGGTTCAGGCCCTTCTCTTGCCTCAGCCTCCCGAGTAGCTGGGATTACAGGTGCCTGCCACCACCCCTGGCTAATTTTTCTATTTTTAGTAGAGACGGCATTTCACCATGTTGGCCAGATTGGTCTCGAATTCCTGACCTTGTGGTCTGCCTGCCTCTGCTTCCCAAAGTGCTGGGATTACAGGCACGCCCGGCCTCCCATCAATTCTTCAGTCTCCTCTTTTACCCTATGCCTGTGGGCTCTGATGGGGTGGACCTCTTGGTGGGGTTGACTCAACTCTGCTCCTGCCCCCAAGAGGCCCACAGACACCTCCCCATCCTCTGCAATGTGAGGGTATGTCTTGGTGCAGGGGCAGGGGGTTCAGGAGGGGCACACGGGCAACAAGGAGTCGTTTGGGCTTTGAAGACAATATTGGGCAGATCAGAGTGAGGGTGATGAAGGTGTGAGGTTGGCTTTTGCTTTCTAGAATCCTGTTGTTCAATGTCTTTCTGCCATTGGGGTTCCTCTCGGTGTCTGAACATTCATTCTTGAAGCACTGTCCTTTCTCTATCTTTTAAAAAAAATTTTAATTAATTAATTAATTAATTTATTAATTTATTTATTGAGACGGGGTCTTGCTCTGTCGTCCAGGCTGGAATGCAGTGGCACAATCTCGGCTCACTACAAGCTCTGCCTCCCAGGTTCACGCCATTCTCCTGCCTCAGCCTCCCGAGTAGCTGGGACTACAGGCGCCTGCCACCACGCCTGGCTAATTTCTTGTATTTTTAGTAGAGACGGAGTTTCACCGTGTTAGCCAGGATGGTCTCGATCTCCTGACCTTGTGATCCACCCGCCTCGGCCTCCCAAAGTGCTGGGATTACAGGTGTGAGCCACCACGCCTGGCCTGCTTTCTAGAATCCTGTTGTTCAATGTCTTTCTGCTATTGGGGTTCCTCTCAGTGTCTGGACATTCATTCTTGAAACACTGTCCTTTCTCTCTTTTTTATTAAATTTTATTTTTTGAGACAGGATCTCTCTCTGTCACCCAGACTGGACTGCAGTGGATTGATCTCGGGTCACTGCAACTTCTGCCTCCCGGGTTCAAGGGATTCTCATGCGTCAGCCTCCAGAGTAGCTGGGATTACAGGTGCCTGCCACTATGCCTGGCTAATTTTTGTCTTTTTAGTAGAGACGGGGTTTCACCATGTTGGCCAGGTTGGTCTCAAACTCCTGACCTCAGGTGATCCACCCGCCTCAGCCTCCCAATGTGCTAAAATTACAGGTGTGAGCCACCGCACCTGGCCAGCCCTGAGTTTAATTTGAATGAATCAATAATATATTAATATATGTTCAATAAGGTGTCTTTAAACCGAAACACGCATGAACCAGGGTGAGGTATTGATCGATTGATGACAATAGTGTGAGCAGATCCTTGCAGGACCCCAAATCTGTATTTCCCCCGGGAGCAGTGGTTCCTTATTGGCTAAGACCATGTTCATGGCAACTTCATATAACATAACCAGTAAGAATATTCTGAGAACTGCCTGTATTTATTTATTTATTTTTAATTTATTTTATATATATATATTTTTTGAGACGGAGTTTCGCTCTTGTTGCCCAGGCTGGAGTGCAATGGCGCAATCTCAGCTCCCTGCAATCTCTGCCTCCTGGGTTCAAGCAATTCTCCTGCCTCAGCCTCCCAAGTAGCTGGGATTACAGGCACCTGCCACCATGCCTGGCTAATTTTGTTTTTTTTTAGTAGAGATGGGGTTTCTCCATGTTGGTCAGGCTGGTCTTGAACTCCCGACCTCAGATGATCCGCCCACCTCAGCCTCCCAATGTGCTGGGATTATAGGTGTGAGTCACCCGCACCCGGCCTGAGAACTGCCTGTATTTATTAAGTGCTCTGTACATTCAAGGGACTGACCTAGGCACCTCCAGATAGTTAACGGGTATAGCCCTTGTTCTCATGGAACTCATCCTCCGAGTGGGGGAAGGCAGGTGCTTTACTCAAAGAATCACAGAATAGGCTGCGCGCTATGGCTAATGCCTGTAATCCCAGCACCTTGGGAGGCT